AAAAAATATAAACAAATTATAATCACTAAAAATAAAGAGAAGAGTAATTAAAATTTTATATAAATATAATTTATAAAATTTATACAAATATGTAACTAAAATCCTACTCTTTTTTCAATGTTAAATTCCATTTTTCTATTGTTTATAAATCTTTGGATATGTATATTCTCAATTATGAAAATCTTTACGTTCACTTAAAAAAATAATAAAACTCTATGTTCATGTTTGGCTGATGGTTTACTCAAATAATTAAAATAGGCTATTTTTTAAAAAAATTGAGAACTAGAAATATTAAAATTCAATATAATATAATTATAATGTCATATAATATTATAAATTTAATATCTTAATATGCTATTAAATAAAAATTTAATATCTTAATATGCTATTAAATAAGTGAATACATATGATATTACAGATAAATTTATAAATAAAAAAATCTGTTATGAAATGTCAAGATTGTAAGTTTATAATACTAGGTAGTATTGTAATTATATCATTTTTTATATAAAAATTACTAAAATTCTATTGTTAATTTTACAGAGAATGTTAGGAACTAGGTTATCAAAATCAAGATTTTAAGTAAACTTGTTTTAGTTAGATAAAATTGAAATTATAAAATTGAATAAAAAAATAAAGAGTGAATTAAATAAATTTAAAAAATATATTATTAAAATTTACATCAAATATTCAAATTTAAAATTTATTTAAGAATTCTAACTAATAATTAATTATTGTAAATTTAACATCCTAATATGTTATTAAATAAATAAATACATATAATATCATGGGAACATCCTCAAATAAAAAAAGTCAATTATGTAATATTACAATTGTAAGTTTACAATATTAATTAGTATTGTAATTATATCATTTTCAATGCTAAAGTAGCTAAACTTCTATTGATAATTTTATACAAAGATGGTTAGGAACAAGGTTGTCAAAATTGAGATTTTAAGTAAAATTGTTTTAGTTAGATAAAATTAGAATTATAAAATTGAATCGGTAAAATAGAAGTTTACTAAATTAATTGAAAACTTATATATTATTAAAATTTAACATCGAATATTCAAATTTGAAATTTATTTAAAAATCCTAACTACTAATTAATTATTTTAAGTCTTTGTTGAATTTTTTTATTTTATAATTATTAAATTATTCCAACTTTTAATATTTTGACCTTAAACCAAAAATTGTTAGTTTAGCTTGTAAAAAAGCAATGAAATCTTGATATTTTTTCCCTGAAACCAAACTGCCCATTTGAAAGTAGCTAGGGAATTTCCACTACTACACTAATTAGGGGTTAGAACATAAAAATATATAAAACCTTTAAAATTTGTAACAATCAAATTTAAACTCATAAAATTTTATCAACCATGTTTAGGAACCATCAATGGAATTTTGATACAAAATTAAAAAATTAAAAAGGATAAATTTATCAATAAAAAAAATTAAATCCACTAGCAATTTAAACCATATTGCTATTCATTAGTTTTAAATTGTTAGATAAAAATGTTTAATATAAACACCTAAATTATTGTAGTTTTAAAATAGATAAATTTACTAAACATCTATTTGATTGTGATTTGGATTAAACTATTAACTGTTATTCCAAACTACCATGCCAAACAAGCATTAAGAATATTCTCAATTATCAAACTTTTACATTCACTTATCCCAAAAAAAATCTTAAGTTCATGTTTGAATGGTAGAATAATCAACAATTAAAGTAAACTAATTTTCTTTTTCAAAAAAATAGGAACTAGAACTATTGGAATCAACAGTAATAATGTGATAATATTACGTAAAATTATAAATTTAATATTTTGATATATCAATAACTAAGTAAATACATACAATATTATAGATGGACTTTCAAATGAAAAGAGATAATTGTATAGTGTTAAGTTAGAATTGTAAACTTATAACACCAAATAACATTATAATTATATTATTTTCAATATTGGAATAGCTAAACCTATGTTGATAATTTTTGGCCAAACTAAAAATAAATAAGGAATATATATTCCTTCTATTTTGTAAGGAGTATGTAGTATGAAGGAAAAGTTTAACCCTAATTTAGCCCCATTTAGCTCCCTAGCTTATAAATTTAAAGTTGTTGATCTCTACCTAAAATTTTTAGTTATTAACCCTTCAACAACAACACAATTTAAAGAAAATTCACCCTTACTTACATATTTGAAACGTGATTCTCACCGGAGTGTTAATCATATTTGGCATGGCAATGGTATGCATTGATGACAATTCCCCTGCTGAACCTAATGTTATGTTTTGGCAACACAATGGAAACCTAACCTTGTTTTACATTTCCAACCAGTTGTTCTGTTTTGTGGGCAAGAAGGTAAGTAAAAATGGCCCAGGCCCAGGCCCAAGTGTGAATGATGTTATTACCACACTTATAATTACTAATATTATATGTTTTTATCTTAATTGATTATTATATCTTTTAATTTATTAAAAAAATATAAATTTTTTAGAAAAAATGTAATATAAGAAAACAATGGATAATTATATTAAAAATATGTAATATTAACTATTTAGAATGTGATAATAACTCATCCAAGTATATGTTAATGGCCTTAGAGTGAATGATGGGTGTGGAGTGGAATAGCAACTAATGGTAGTAGTGTTAGTTTAAGGCCAAGGACCAAGTACAGAATAATGGTCTTAATTCTTAAGGTGATGGAAATTAGGAAAATGATAAATGGGACGAAAGATGCGAGGGAAAGATAGGACGAAAAGATCATAGCCACTAGGGCTATGTATCCCACACCACATTGATGGTGTTGATCTGGTCCGATGGTTTGGTCTCGATTTTTTGGTTCGTCTTGTTTCGGTCCTAAAGTGAAAGACGGGTCTAGAGGGGAACAACTATCGGCTCGAACCAAAAGCTATTATTTTGATAAAAAAAAAAAAAAAAAGGAGATAAAAAAGACTACACATCGGTTTACTTAATTCATTGATTTTTTTTTTGTTGCTTAGGGTAGAGAAACTATTTTAGAAACATTTTCAAAATAGTAAGAGTTTAACAGAGTCTAACCAAATTAAGTTTTGAGCTGGGTTTGAGCACAACTTGAAGATCAATTATAATCTCTGGAGATATGTTGTATTAGTAGACAGGAGAGGTATCGTTCATTTTGAGTTGTTCCTAAGAGCATATACAATAGCAAAGCTCTTTTGGGTGTTTTTGTTAATGTAGTGTAGTTACAATCAATATTATTTT